TTATAATTATATTATTTTCCAAAAAAATAAGGACGGGTCATTAATCTGATCATTTGATCAATCAAATTTTAATCGTTCTTACGTAGAAGGGAATGTAAGTTTGTCTTCCGTTCACTAGACCACTGACATAGCCAGTGTATCCAGCCATTGCACCATGCACTGCGCTCTGAGCCAGAAGTGTACAATAAACATTGTCTGACGCATTGCTAGGAACCGCCCGAATCATGTATGTTGGATCTGAAATTAAGATGAGCAAAATGCGCTAAGAATCAGAAAAATTCAAAGAATTCATTGCAGAGGGGCATGAATTGTACCAATGTACTTGAGGTTCATCACCATCTTCTTCTGATTAAAATGATCCTATGACCAAGTAGAACGAAATTAAACACTTGGTGAGTTTGGTCTGATTCTAATATCCATTCATGTTTGATGCTTTGTCAGTAATTTATGGCTTACCTTGATGCTTTGTGAAAGCCAAAGACCAACATCTTTGAGAAGTTTGTTACCAGATGCATCTTTGAGAGTCATAGATTCCATGCTCTTCGACATTAGATCTTGTCCTGCACCTTCTGCAATCACAAGCACCATGTGACCGCTCTCCTTGAGCCGTTTTTCTATGTACTCAAACAGTCCGCCTTCTCCTTCCAGGTAAAATGGTGACTCCGGAATCAAACAGCAATCCACATCTCTGCTTGCTAGAGTAGCGTACATCGCTATGAACCCTATTAAGGTAGTGCGTGCACTTGTGAAATAATCTAAATAAGAGAGCTTGATAAGGCGAAGAAGAAGCAGAAGAGTGAATTACTAACCGCTGTAGCGACCCATAAGCTTGACAACACCGATGCCATTCTCTATACTCTCTGCTTCCACATGTGCTGCGTTAATAGCTCGTTGAGCCTCTTCTACAGCTGTGTCAAACCCAAAAGATTTGTCTATCACCTGCACAAAAATACAAAAGTGAATATCTCAATTTCTTCTACATAAAAAGAACATAGGTCTTCTATAGAGAACGAAGCAGAGAAGAGAGGGATACATACAGGTATGTCATTATCGATTGTTTTCGGGATTCCAATTACTGCAACTTTCAGGCCACGTCGTCTAATTTCCTACATGTTTACCATCAAAAGATCAGTAAGTTCTGAAATTCTACAAACTTGTAAAGTAAAAATGGGATTTACCTCAAATATAACCGATGCTCCTCGCTGTGTTCCATCTCCTCCTATAATGTAAACCTGAACAATGACAAGAACTAGATCAAGAACACGTTTTTATATATTTTTAGAACGAAACACTGTGTAAAGAGGCGGTGGTTATCGAAACCTGATTGATTCCTCGATCTTGAATGCTGTCAACTATCTTTGTGGTATCATGGCCACCTCGTGAGGTCCCCAGGATAGTTCCTCCGCGCTTATGGATATCATTTACGACCTTAGAGTCCAAGGAGACAGTATTTTTTGCATAGAAGCCTCTATATCCACCCTGAAAAACCTTCACGAGTGAGAAACTGAAACAAACAAGAGCCCGTCTGTTTCGGAATGAACAAGATCACAATCACAGTAACTTACATCTATTCCGAGAATTCTCTTCACTCCATACATATAAGAAAGACTGCTTACGATTTCCTTAATCACGGTATTAAGGCCGGGACAAAGACCCCCACAGGTAACTATGCAAGCATGCACTTCATCAGATTCGAAGTAGACCTGCAGAGAAGTAAGTCAGCAACAGAAGCTATTCAAAAGAGATATAAGCACCTTGAAACAATTCGACAAAATAAAAAAAAACCTTTTGACGTGGTCCAGCTCGTCTAAAATGAATCCCCCTTGAACTATCCTTGTGAACAACAATCTAAAACAACGAGGAGAAGAGCCAATAAGAGAAACATGAGCTTTAAATTCTCAGGCTTCCATGGATATTTTTAGAAACAAAATATATAAAGTACCTTCTGAGGGACACTGTCATCAGCATCAACAAAGTATTGCCTG